TCGGCTGCTCCCCTGGGGTAGTTGAGGCTTTTGCAGCTGCCACTCTATCTCCGCAAACATTGCCCTGTATGTAACGCCTCCATGATCTGCCACGACCTCACTCGCCCCCTGAGTTATTATTACTCCTACTCTGCAGTTGTGAGCAGGCTCAGGGAGCTTCTGTAACTTCTGTGACTTCCCACTAGAGGTCACAGGGGACCGGCACGGGCAGCTCTTTCCACCTGCTGACACTGACACAGAATCCTTTGGGCTCACCAGTGGGGCTCTTCCAGGCCCGCTTAGTCTTTTGCCCTAACGGGGTCTTGTCACCCACAGGCCGAGGTGAGGGCCTGGAGTCAGAGCCCCTGTGAATTCAGCAATAACAAGACTGTGCAACTCTCTCCCCCCAAGGACTGAACCAACAGTTCCTTAAATGTGCCCTTTCTTCAACTGTGGCATTCATTTCACTGTGATGTGTAATGCAATTACCAGCCGAGAGTGTGATGAGTCACTTCTTCCTCTGAGAGCTCACATCCGGGGCAGTGTTCTTCAGCCCTGCTGGCCCCAGCGCGGGGCCCCGAACCGTCTTGGCGGGGGCTGAAAGGTCCCACCCAAAACCCCTCTGACTACACCGATGCCTCAGGAAATCCTCGGCCCACGCTTCAGCCTTTCTGACTCCCGGCCTGCGCTGTCATCCCTTCCCAAGCCCGGCTGGGCACCCCAGTCCAGGCCCTGATTCTAGCTTTGTCTACACCATTTGCTTCTGGATTGTTCTCAGGCCCAGTTATCTACCAGCTAAGGGCTGTAGGCCAAGCCGACCTGGACCCAAATCCTGGTTCTACCACTTCTTAGCCATGCAGAGTCTTAAACACGTTCCACTTCCACGAGCCTCTGTTTTTTTCCATCTGCACCATGGGAGTCATATCATGGGAATAACAGTACTACCTACCTCCTAATGAAGCGTGAGATGCAGCAGGCAATGCACTTAGCACCGTGATGGGTGCAGTATAAATGTTAATGACTGTGTGTGCGTGTGCGTGCGCGTGTGCGCATGTGTGTGTGCGTGCGTGTGCGCGTGTGCGCGTGCGCGCACCCCTCCTGAGCACCTGACTTTTCTTTACTGTGTTTTTTTCACCACGTACTAATTGGAGCACGGCAGGGCTATGCCATTTCTATCCTCTCGAGAACCCTAGTGTCCTATTCCGCCCTTCCTGCTGCTTCCGGTTTCCGAAGCTCTTCTTCCATTCCACTCCCACAGCCCTTTTCGGCTTTCATTCCCTCTGTGCGTTTCACATGGTTTATGACAACGACATGACAATATTTATAATATTTTGCAGTCTTATCCAATGGGACAAGGAATGGCAGCTGCTGGGCTAGCTGCAAAATTAACCAAGGCAATGAATTATTTAAAAAAAAAAAAAAATTGCAAAGGACACAAATAGGCAATTCACAGACGATCCAGCCCTGGTGACCAAAAAACATATGACAAGATTTCAGATTCTAGTAATGGGGGAAACGTAAATTCAAAGAGCAAGGAGACACTTCCTTGCTTCTATCAGAATAACCCAAATTTTAAAAGCCTGATAACACCTCTTGCTGGTGGGACTTCAGGGAAGGTTAACCATGGCTCTCGGACCACACAGCCTTTTAGAAAACAGTCTGGCGACATCCACTGAAACGAAAATTAAAACACTTGTACCTTCTGACCTAGCGGTTCCACTCCTGGAAACCTCCCCTACAGATACGCAAACACCAGAACGCACAGATGTAAGCGCGGGCCGGGTCATGCATTCTCCTTTCGAGCGGGAAACAAACGAAAGCTAGAAACAAAGCTAATGTCCTCCAAAAGGAGAGCTGACGAATAAGTTATGACTGCCAAGGAGTTGGAAAGCCATGAAAACGAATAATTTGGGTCCCTTAGAGCTGGCAAGATGGCGGGCGAGGGACAGCAGCGCGCACCTTCCGCGCGCTCACCTGGGCTCACCTACCGCGGCGTGGCCCTCGGCCACTTGCTGGACGCCTCCCAGGTCGGCTCCCCTCCCAGGTTCGTGAGGCCTCGGGGACACCGTGGCTTGCCCACGGTTCCAGCTGCGCCACCTCTCCTGCGACGCCCGTCCTCCTCCTCCTCGGTGTCCTTGCCCCAGGTAGCGACGTGGACGTGGGAGGGGCGGCAGCTGGACAGCCCCCCCCTCACCCCACCCCCGCTGCCCGGCGCCTGCGCAAGGCCGGGAAGGAGGCGTCGCCCGACGAGAGGGAAGGCCCAGGAGTGAGGACACGTCCGCGTGACGCCAAGGTCCCGCCCAAGGTCGTGGGGAGCATGAGGGCGACCACTACGGTGGGACCTCCAGACAGGTGGCAGTCACGCCTGAGTTGGCTGGTCGGTACCTGGGCGAGTTCTCCATCACCTGCGCGCAGGTGGAGAGCGGCCGGCCTGGAGTCAGGGCCACCCACGTTCCCCGCTTGAACACCCCCCAACCCTGAAGTAGCCTGCCCGGCCAACGAAGGCACAGATTTCTGAAGTCCAAAAAGAAAATGGATAAATAAATTGGAGCTATAGCAGGTGACTCATGGGGGTTACAGCGAACAATCGGTGAGGACAAGCAAAGTGCCTGAAACTGGATGTAAAATTACCCCGTCTGTAAGAAGGCCCGCCGCCCTTCGCCACCCCGCCCGTCACCCGCGCACGCGCGCCAAGGCGCATGAGCGTGGAGGACGATGTGGCGGGACCCAGCCCGGGTTGTCGTCGTGGTTTGCGGGGGTGGGAGAGAGTGAGGGAGGACCCAATTCCGAGAGAAAAGACTGCACTGGAATTAAAACAATATATATAACATAATCACATTTGTGCAGTATTGTAAAAGTACGTGCGTGAGTAGATGTGAGAAAATTTAAATACATATCTCATAAAACATCTTCGTTGACCTTAAGCATACGGACCTACATTCCTTCGCCCGACATTTGACGCATAGCCAAGATCCTGGCCCTGCGACTAAGTCTGTTCTCGACGCTCCGTTCCGCCCGCCTTTTGTGCACCCCTCACGCCCTGTCCAGTTTCCAATGTCCCTCTCCGCAGAGAACAGTGAACACTTGTGTCAGCTTTTGTGTGGACATGTGTTTTTTACATCTCTTGGGTGAATTCCAAGGAGTGGAATTGCTGGCAATAGGGCTGGAATTCCTCAGTTTTTCGCAGTTTTTTCTCGTTAGGACTCAGTATACTCACCACGGACAAGTGCTCTCGGGTCTCTTGGTCCCGTCACACCACGAGCCTCCTCGGTTTCACGTGTCCCATGGAACCTAGCACCTGCAAAGCACCCAAGAAAGATATGGGGGGCACGCCCCGGTGCCAAATGCGGCTGACAGGCCCCGAAAGACGAGGCCTCTAAACTGCCCATCGGCTATGGTGACAAGGGGTCACTGGTAACCTTGACAAGTAGTGGGGGCGGAAGCCTGACTGAAGATCCTTGGAGCAAGAATGGGAGGAGTCAGACAGCAATAGATCATTCTTCCGAGGAACTTTTTCCATAAAAGGTGGCAGAGAAATGAGACGAGTTGTACAGAGAAAGTGGAATGAAGAGTATTTGGGGGTTTCTGAGGCCAGGAGAAAGGACAGTGTGTTTGCATGATGTAGTAGAAAGGTAAACGCGGACAGCGGCAGAGAGGGGTGGACGACAGCAAGGGTGACGTCCTTCAGGAGGAGAGGCGAGCTGGGGTCCCATCCATAATGTCACAGACAGAGTATTTTGTCCTCCCAAATTCATGTTGAAACCCTAACCCCCAAATAGGACTGCATTTGGAGATGGGGCCTGTGAGGAGGTGACAAAGGGTAAATGAGATCGTAAGGGTGGGGACGTAATCTGCTAGAGGTGGTGTAGAGGGTGCCACACTAAAGCTTGTCTCCCTGTCAGGCGACAAGACCGAGAAGGCCGCTGTCCGTTAGCCAGGAAAACAACCCTGCCCGGGAACCAAACTGGCTGGCCCCTTGACCTTGGACTTCCCAGCTTCCAGAACTATTTTTTTAAGCCACCCGGTGTGTGGTTTTGTTATGGCAGCCCCAGCGGACTAAGCCACGTGGAGAGACTGGTTTTGGGAGGAGCAAGGGGCGCTCACCCACAGGAGCAGGAGGGGAGGCAGGGCGCACGGGTGCGAGGCAGCCGGGGGTGAATGTGTGCTGAGGGGTCTCTTCTGAACGCTCTTCTTTTTGTTCGGTGACATGGGAAGCGAGGAAGGCGAGCGGTCGAGAGTAAGGACACAGGGTTGCAGGTGGAGGAAGAGCGATGAGACGGTGAGCGGACCAGGGGGATGCGGTGAGCACGTCTGTGAGCCTCGGGCTCCCACAGGGTCTGGAGTGAAGGCTTGAGCAAGGTTAGTTGCAGACACACCTCGGCAGGAAGCTATGCCACCTGCCAGTGGGGGAACTAGGAAGAAGTGGGGTCTTCCCAGGAAGACTCGGGGCTCCTGGCCCTGACTCACTGGGCCCCTTTTCACACACCTGCCTCGAAGGGAAAAAGCATTATTTCCTCTTTTGCACCGAAGATTCCCACGGGATAGGAATTCCAGGGGCGAGGTGGGACGAGGTGGGGTGAGGTGGGGTGGGGTGGGGTCTCAGGTTTACATGATGGCTGCCTGGGGGGCCAGCCTGGGCTACCCACTTTCTTATTTGAGAGAATGTTCTGCATTTGTATATAACTGTACATTTTTAAAGAGTTCCCTACTGTTTACTACCAGTGTGAGGAATAAGACAAAGCTCCCTTCTCCATCCGGGCCCTACACGGCATTTGGATGGTGGGGACGTGGTCTTTTCAAGAGAAATAGAAGACACTTGAGTCCTTGCCTCTTGTCAACAGCCATGGACCCCATGAGTGAGTGAAAGTAACTTGGTCCATCTTCTTCACTCCGCTACTGATCCTGCAATGAATTATTTTTCCTAAAGAGAAGCAGACTATAGATCGGAGCAAAAAGCCTTCACTTCCTGAGGTATGTGACAATTTTTCTAACTTAACAAAAAAAAGAGCCAGACCACCTAGTCACTTATATACATACTTGTATTTATTTACAATTTACATATTTTTACAAAATGAATGTATAGAAATTCATACAGCCCAAAGACAGAGTAATGCTTTTTGTTTTTCCATTGATGTTCTAAAACAATATTTCTGATGAAGGGTTGCTTCAGGTTAGATTTCCAAATTACCTCAAGAATAATGTAATACTTGAAATGTGGATCAGCTGGTTTTTTTAAAGTTATTTAAATAATTTAGTAACTATACATCTGATTTCATCTTCTATCGCCAATTAACTGGAGCTATAAAAAAAAATGTATCATATTAGTAACTTGTAAAATGCAGTCAATCTGCGGTAGAGACCAAGAATCCAAATTACCCTCCTATTCTAATAAATATCTGTACTCCGTGGGTAACAAGCGTTCACAAAAAAATGAGTGCTGTGCTCATTTCAAATGAGGGGTTAGGTAAAGGCAAGTAAATTAGGAGTTTTCCTTATGAAGAATCTCGCAGTCGCTGTTAAGGAACCCGCATGGGTCCGTGATGATGGGTGCTGTGAAGTTTCGAGGGGGGATGAAGTGGGTGGCCTGCAGTGGACTTCTCAAACGAGTCCCGGCCGGCACGGCATCCCTTCTCAGAGCAGCCCCTGGCAGGACGCGGCACTCCACCACCGGCCCAGTCCCCCGCCCTCTCCGCAGAGGTCCCCTCCCCACCCCACAGCCTCAGTTTCGTGCACTGCCCAGGAGTCAGGCCGCGTCTCCGGCTCGCCTGCAGACCGAGCTGTCACCTGCCGCTCTCTCCTCTCAGCAAAGTGGGGGACTCCGCTCTCTGTCTAATTTGGTCGACCTTGTGATGTTTTCCAGACATGTGCCATGAATGAAGAACACCAGCACCCCGAGAAACTGTCTAAACTGGACTGGGTGGTGAGACGTGTGAGATCATGCCCATTCTCCCTCAGATATCTGTTATCTACTCGGCTGTCCGCAGATACTTCAGATTGGGTTTAGCTCTTCCTGCCACTGTCTTCAAGGAGGTGTGACTGCTCCCACCCGCTCCCACCTCTTCCCACCCCCCGACCGCCTCCAGCTTCTTTCCCGATGCTCAGGGCAGCAGTTACTGTCCCGAAAAAGATGCTCCGCCATCTGTAACTACAGCCCAATACCCGAAAGCCACTCCTCCAATGAGATGCTGGACAGCACTGCCAGGTAACGTGCCTGCATCCCAAACTCAACCTGTCAAAGCACAAATCCATCTTTTTTTCCTCCCAAAGAAGAGCCCTGTCTGACTCCTCTGCTATCTCTGGTAGTGCCACCATCTCCTGGGCACCCAAATGCCTGTCGCTTTTGGCTTCTTCCTTGAGGATTACTAGTAATCATAATACCTAACATTTACTGAGCAATATTAGGAGCCCGTCACTATTCCAAGCATTTTACTTATATTAACTTGTTTCTACGTGTTGCTATTTCTATGCTATTTTTACATATACCATCATTGTGACTTCTCCGCTATCGTTATGCCCATTTTCCACAGAAGACAACTGAGGCACAGAGCGTTGAAATGACCAGTCTGAGGCCTGTGAGAGATGGAGCTGGCGTTTGCACCCAGGGACTCTGGCACCGGAGCCCGTGTGCCCAGCTGTGCTTCTCCACGCCCTCTCAAACCTCGCCCTCTGCATTCATTCCGCCGATTCAGGCCCTCTCTGTTGGATGGATTATTCCATTTATCGACCCACCTGTGTCCCTCTCTCCAGCCTCCTGTCCATTAACTCACCCTACCTATGCTTTGCCACCAGAGCGATCTTTCTAAAGTGTAGCTCTGCTCAAAAATTCTTAGTGGTTCCCCCGAAAAAAAGACCCAAACCTCTTGGCAAATCTCTCTCAGTGTCTCGGCCCTGCCCGACCTGCCGGTCCAGCCCCACCTTCCTGTAGCCCCCTGGCATTTGCCACCCCAAAGAGGATGGCTCGCTACTTCCCATCCTGCCCTCTGCAGCCCTCAGCCCTTACTCTCCCCCTCATCCCCCAAAGCCCAGCTCGTGGCCCTTGCCTCCTGCCACCCGTGCGACCTGCCGGGAGGGGTCTCCCGGGGCCTCCTCATGGCAGTGTACCGACGACGCTGCCGCTGTTAATAACATTTGTGTCTTATCGTTTGTTCGTGACACAGGCCCAGCTCTGACTCTGGCTCCTAAGGGAACCCCATCCTTGGTCCAATTTTCCTGGGATGGGAGAAGGAGGGATATTGTGGTGGTAAACAGTATACCCCTTGGTCTGAAGCCCGAGATTTGCGTCCCAGCTCTACCACTTATTAGCAACGGGACTTGACTCCTCCGAGTCTCGCGTTCACTGTCTCTAAGCGGTGCTGACGCCCCCGTGCGAGGCTCACGGGGCCTCACTGAGATGGCATAGTCCCTAGTCCCTGGCACACGGGTGGCGCTCAGTGAATGCGGTTCGCGCGTATCTGCTGATGTGACTGGTTACTGTTCCAGGCAACTGACGGGCAAGCAGAATCTGGCTCCCCAATCATAGGCGCCCGATACCAGGGCTATTCTGGCACATGATCTACAGGGTACTCACTTGGTACTTCCTGCGTTTCCGTTGTATTTCCGAACACCTACAAATGAAGACATTGTCATCTCAGTTAACAAACTGCAAAACGGAAGCTGAAACCTGGAGTTGCTAATCGCCTTTTAGAGACCCGCATCTGGAGAAAGCTACACCACACCCCTGCCGAGCTGGCATCTCCTGCGCTCCTAAAGGCTTCAATCAAATTGGCTGCAGACATGGTACTAGTGTGGTACATTGTGTGGAATGACATGGGCCCTTAGATGCCAAATTGGCTTTTTTCCAGTCAGGTTTATAAATCTAGTGTGTATTTTGTATTTAGGGCACATCTCAGTGTGGACCCCCACATTTCAAGGGCTCAATAGGCACATGCGGCTCGTGGCTACTGTTTCAGACAGCACAGGTGTGGGCATTAGGTTACCAAATAGATGCATCCGTTACCTGCCTGTAAAGCATCAACCTTAGCCTGGAGCAATTCTAGTGGTCCACCAGCCTAGCCCCCAGGCTTGACCGAGCTCATAAAGATGTTTGTCAAGGACAACTAGCTGCTGGAACTGTTCACAGCTTCTGAAAGCTCCATGCCAGACACCTCACCATTTCCCAATGAATGGCTTTAGAGCTGAGATGCTTGCCGAAGTAATTATTTTTTTAGATCGATTTTTTTTTTCAGGTTATATGGTATTATCAGTACTGACCACTGCAGTAATTTTCTCTCCATTGAATGAACTTTTTTTTAAGTTAAATCAACCAGTTGGCGTGGGGTGTGGGTACTCAGTGGTACTTTGCTTCAGGTATTCTGGTAAAAGACCTAAGACAACACCGAGTGGGAAATGATTTTGGTTCCTGGGGACCAGTCTGTTAAAGAGATGATTAACTATAACACTACTATTTAGGGGTGAAAATTAACTTTTTTAAAAAAAAGATCTGAGATCCCCAAATATTTTACTTATTGGTAATGATGCCTTAAAACTTTCTGTAGCTAATTTTTTAACTTGTTTAGAAGAGAGCTGATTGATAATCTACTACTTAGGGGTCTTCATGGTATTTGCAATCTATAATATGAAAACGGTATCCTCGGGAAATCATAACCTAGGGCTAATATCATAAGATAGTCTAGGTCTATCTGACCACTAAAACTTTGGGAAATGAGGGAACTGTTCCCTATCTAGGTTGTCCAATATGGTAGCCACCAGCCATATATGGCTACTGAGAATTTGAAATGTGGCTACTGCAACTGAAGAATTGGATTTAAAGTTTTATTTCTAATTGATTCAATTTTATATATCAATCGCTAGATGTGGCTAGTGCCTACTGTATGTATTGAACTGTGCAGGTCTAGGGAAATGGGAATTTAGTTTGTGTGGAATGACATGGGCCCTTAGATGCCATCACCTTGCAGAAAGTTTACTCTTTAGCACTCCCTGTGGGAATGACAAATTAGTCTTGCAAATACCCTTTTGGTGAAGGCTGATATGGAAACTGTTGGGGCTTCAAGAACATCTGCTCACATGTACAGCCTGGTCGATGTCCTTTGGGACTTGGGGAAGGGTTTCTTGCTGGGTCACCAGTTCTCCGGGGCATATGGGTTGCTTTCTAGGTTGGCCCAGGATCTCTGGGGTGCTGAGGAAGGCTCAGGAAGGCAACACAGGTAACGCCAGATAATTATTACTCACTCTAGTCACCCAGCTCAACAAAAGCTCCTTCCTACCTGGGGCTTCTGTCTGAGAGGTAAGACTCAGATAGTATGGCTATAGTGGCCAAGAGTTAAGGTGTCTTTTGTAAAATCTGTCTTGGAGACCAGAAGTAAAACTATATGGTAAAGTGGACCACAGACAGAGGGAGGCTGTAGAACAGGTCCCAGGTATATTTGGCTGTGTCCCCTGATGTAGAGCATGCCGTGGCCTGAGGAGTCATTCTACCTTAAAATAATGCAGGGTCTCTGGAGGAACCTGGCACACTCAGCAACCCAGACAAGTAAAACGCAAAAATTTCTGTTTCTTTTGAAATGCCTAAAATTTCAAACTTTGTTTTCACCCTCGAACTATTCCTTTTCTAGACTTTGAAAAACCCATTTGAGTATGAAAACATTATTTTTTTAAGGAAAGTACACATACATTTCATAAACGGCCAAATCAAGAGCAGTAGTAGTAGTAGTAGTAGTAATGCTCCTATAAGTCCATACCGAGCCCTTGAGTGATCTGCAAAAAAAGAAAGACAATTAGCTCAACTGATCAAAATAGAGATACGGTAGATCCTCTTTATTTGCAGATTTTATATTTACAGTTTATCTACTTGCTAAAATTTATTTGTATTCCCCAAATCAATAGTCACAGCACTCATATGCTCATTCATGGACTTGTGCAGAATGGCGAAGCATCCAGCTGCCTGATGCGCATGTCCCAGCTGAGTCTGAGCATGGCAACAGTCTGCCTACTTGCTTCAGCTCTCATGCTATAAACAAGTGGCCTACTCACGGTTGTGAGTGCCACATCTTTCACATTTTTGTGTTTCTTGTTGGAGACTGTACCGTTTACAGTGGTCCCCATGCATAGCGCTGCAATGCTGTCTAGTAGCCCTAAGCGCAAGAAGGCTGTGAGGTTCCTTAGAAAACATGTATGTCAGATAAGCTTCATTTAGGCATGAGTTACAGTGCTGTTGGCCACGCGTTCAATGTTAATGAATCAAATATACATATGCATATGTAGGTATATGTATCTATGTGTGTACATAAAACAAGTTGTCTTTAAACAGAAACACAGAAAACAAGATTAGATATGGATACTTTGCTGGACACGTTGTGACCAGAGGCTGGTAGGAACCTCTAACTCTGTATTTCCCCTGGGAGCAATAGTTCAGAATTTGTTAGTTCTGTGTTCACAGTGACTTTACAGAATATAACCACTGCGAACAAAGAGAATCGACGGTATTTCTAAACAAACTGGTACACATAAGGCTGACACACATGTCAGGCCCGGTGTTGTTTATGAAAAGAAGCAAACGTCCCACTAGAAGCTTTATGCTCAGCCATCCCTCACTGCCAGTGGAAGCATAACTTGACATTGTGAGTTTTGTGGGGCAATTTGGCAGTTGTGCATGACGAGCCTTGAAAACGTTCATCACGAAGCAGCTGGCCGTGCTAAGTGATGGGCCTGTGGTCGCGCTGAATCATTACAACAACGTTCAGTGAGCGCTTCAACCTCTCGGGGCCTCAGTTTCCTCATGGGCTCACTGTAAACGGTGAAATGTGTCTATCTCAAGGGGCAGCTGTCAGCATTCACTGAGTCCGTACATTTAAGAGCAACTATTAGCCATCGTCACTAACCTACCTGAGTCGTTAGATGCCACTGGATCTCTACTGACATCCTCCGGCCCTGCGATTCCATTTCTAAGATGTTAACCTACAGAAACGATCCGTGAGGTGCCCCTCCCCCTCTCCAGAAATATGCAGAGATTTACCTCAGCCTGACTAAACAATATCGGAAAGCTACGACAACCTAAACGTCCCCAACAGATAAGGGCGGCATGTTCACGAGGTGGGCTCTATCCAGCTCCTCACGCTCCAAAGGCGGAGGATCTAAGGGCACGGCAAAGCGATCGCCCCGCGCTAAGGGAGGGGAGTCCCTCATGGCGGGTACGACACAGAGAAGAGACAAGGGTGAGGAGAAAGAAAATGCATGAAGAAATGAGAACGGGAACATTCATCCTCTCCTCTTGTTAGGAACACAGCTGGGTTCAAACGAGTAGGCGGTCACCACTGGCTGGATCTGAGAGGCCCCTGGCCACACACTGCTGGTTGTCCCCAGAGCCATTCTCCCCTCTTCAGTAAGAGAACTCAGATTTGCAGCTGGACACCCCGCCACTCAACTGGAAAGTTAATCTCTCAGCCTTTCGTGCCGCTAGGTTTGACCACGTGACTAAGTTTTGGGCAATGAAAAGCAAGAAGGCTTGAGTGGTCTTTCTTAAACGTCTCTCTAACAGGGATATGGCAGGCCACTTCTCCCCTTCCCGAACCCCGAAACAGCCGGGAAGGCAGCAGGAGCTGGGCTGCACCTGGGCTCCTCACAACTTCATAACGACGGTATGCCCAGGGCTGCCGACCTCCGATTTTTTTAACATGAAAGGAGAAATCGACGTTTTTAAGCCACTGATACATTTTTAATAGCTGAATCTAATGCTGATGGATACAATCCCTTCCAAAAACAAAAAACAAAAAAAAACACCTCTCTCATGTGATGATGCCAGATGCTGTCATCACTTCGGGACCGCAGAGATTCGGGGGAGACGACGGCGACATGAGTTCTTAACCCTCTGCTGTTTCCCTCGGCCTGTCCACTGCGCTGACAGCTGACCGCCCCCTCCTTACATGGCTTCCGAGACACCACGTTCTTGGGGTTTTCAGTCTCCTTTGCTGGATCCTCTTCCTCTTACCAGCCTTAAATGCCAGAATCCCCTCTGGCATCTGCTCTCTCCAAGTGACCTCATTTCGTCCACGGCTTTACGTGACCCCTACACTCTATTTATGCCCGAATTTGTATCTCCAGCCCTCACGACTCCCTTGCATGTCAGAATGCCACCCTTGACGTCTCTGTCCGATACCTAGTGGTTATCTCCAATGTCACGTCCCTGACGTGACTCTGTGTTTTCTCCACACACCTGCTGTTCCCCTGCTTCTCGGTCTCAGCGACATAAGTCATCCAGTTGCTTGGGCCAGTCACTGACTGCTTATAAAGTACTCTGCCTCCTGGGACAAAGCACAGGAAATCCTCCTGACTCTGTTCTCAAAATGTCTCCGAACCGGAACCCCTTCTCCCAACCCCCACCACCATCGCCCTAGTCCAAGACACCCACAGCATCTTGCTTAGACAGCGAGTTCCCAATTTAGGTGCATACACCCAAGGGAGTACATAAGACAACCAACTAGGTGCAAAAAAAAAAAAAATCTAGAACCTCTATATTTATTATTTATATCATTCTTTAAATGCTTTTTCGATTTTGTGTGTGTTTTAAGATGGCCCTCGTTATATTCCTTGGGCAGCACGCTGTGGCAGAAGGCCCCACTGACCCCCATTACCCAATCTTCTCTTTTTCTCTGGCAACAGAACCGCTGAGTTGTAACAGGGCACGTGGCCAGCCAACCAAAGATGACGGCTCCCAGCCTCCCTGAGCCAGGCATGGCCACAAACTCTGGGCTGATTCCCAAGGGGAAGGACCGCGCATGCTCCGCTCCCGCTCCCGCTCCTCCTCCCTTCCCCCGTGCCGTGACGGAAGGAGTCACGGGAACCCTTGCCTGGTTGACTCCAGAGAATACAATTTAAAACAAAACAAAACAAAAAAACGGGAAAAGATTATTTAACACACAAACAAAATGCAAGATAAAGTGCCCGAGTTACAAAACATAAATTCCTTTGGTTCGATGATCACACGGCTGTTTTTACCTTCCGATGGCTACAGACGTCGTCCCTGCAAAGGAGTCAGGTTGTCCCTGTCACATTGAAGACACCATGGCAGAACCACCACATGCCCCACTACGCAGTGAAGCTCCAGCAACTTATGTGAGCTAGGGCTGTAGGGCAGGACAAGGGAGACAGGTTGGAATGAAAAGCAAAGCAGACTACAGGGGCACAGGCCAGTGGGAGGATGCTGTTGGCCCGGTCTCTCTGCTATGAATCATCCCCGGTATGTGCTACACGAGGCTGAGTCCCTTGGTACAATCACACGTAAACACAGACAATCCAGTGACCCTAAGCGTTCCCAGGCAAAAAAGGGGGAAAAAAATACAGAGAAGCAGAGGAGAGAAAGGATGGCCGCAAGAGGCAGGTCACAGACCAGCAGAGTCCAGGTCCTCAGTTTTACAGATGGGCAGAGAGCACAGTTTTTAACCAAAAGATGGGGAATGCTTGTAAAACATTTCCATGCCGCTGTCATACCTAAAAAACTAATTAAACTCAAATATGCAGTATTTAAATCTCTCCTATTTTTTATTTTTTTGTTTGAATCAGGATCAATAAGGTCCGTATATTTCAATGAGTCAATATGTTTCTTACATTTTTGAATTTCTAAATTCCCCCATCACCTCTCTTCCCCTTCTATTTTGTTGATCCATGGTGCTACAGAATTCTCCGCAGCCTGCACTATCATTTACACAGTATGGTTTTCACTAGCCAATTCCTGTGAATCGGTCAAAAATTTTTCTTAATTTGATTTATTTTGAGACAGCATCAGGATGGTGTCATGGAAAATAAACTCCGGAATTCGAAGACCTACATTTTAATTCTATTTCCATTACTTAAGTGACCTTGGTGAAGTCACCCCACCTAGTTGAACCTGTCTCCCCGCTCTTAAATAGTAAATCATTCCTGTCTGGCCGGTCTAGGAAGGTGTTGGTGAGGAGTAAATGAAACAGTATCTGGAAGGGTTTGCTAAGGAATGGTAGGCTAGTCGATGTGAATTACTATGCTTCAGTGATAAAGCATTAGAAAGTCTGCATAAAAAATTGACACAAGATCCTGTATTTAACTGTACATCTTCATGGATTTATATGTTATGATGTATGCAACTCCATAGAAAAGTATTCAAAAATCATAATGGAGGGGGAAAAAAGAGACCCCGGCCATTTATTGTTGCAAAGTCCCATTTAGATCATTGAGTTCAGGTCCCAGATTTGCAGAAAAGAAAAAGGTCTTTTAATATCTGGTTAGTGGAGGCCAAGGAAAGGAGCACAGATATGTCTCTCCTATGTCGATACCCTAAGAATTATCTAGCAATGTTTCTCAAACTTTCAAAATCTACAGTGTAATGGGAACGATCGACAATGTGGGAAATGTAAAACAAAAACAAGATGAATCACGTTATTTAATAACAAAAAGGATTTGTTTTCAAATTCCTAACACTTCACTTTCCTATCAGTGAGAGGGATGTTATCAAGACGATCTTTTCTCCAGGTGTCTACAGGAAAGAGCATTTTATGCCAGCATTCGATTCTAGCGGGAAAGGTTAACTGAAAACCGCACAAGGGCAAAATGCTTGAAAATCTCTTAAACTACTCCATGTGAGTCTATAACGGACCTTATTCAAAAATTATTTCCTGCAAGTATTTTGCCTCCTGGAACACCTGAAGCTTTTCGAGATGGTACTGTGCTTGTTTCTTCCACACATGGTCACCTTCCTTCTGCTTGTCGGTGACGTGCACCGCACAGCCAAAAGCCGAAAATCACACTGGTTTGGTTTTCTGTCATTCCAGTCATAAAGCAGCGACCTGCTAGCACCCAGATTGCATTTCCACACTACATACCTTGGGTATTCTGCAACACCCAACAGGCGATTTAGTAAAGGAATGTTTGCTCCAAGCATAACAACTATCATTAACTTTGCAGCTGGTTTTTAAATATTCTTGAGAATTGTGTGACTTGGGCAAATGGCAACACTTTTGTGGGTTTGGTCTTTTCTCTGTCTTTAGTCAGTGACAAACCGGATCTCATTTTGCATTTTTTCTGCAAATATTTGTTTGCTTTATCGGAGAAGTTACACTACATTGTCTGAAAATAAAACTCTAACTTTAATGGCTTTGTGTCATTATTTGAAGTTTCAAAAAGTACGATACACTGGAGACTTAAGGAGACTAGCTCACTAATCAAATAAAATTCAAGTTTTTTATATTCATTATATTCACTAATTGCCCTTTTCTGTTTCAACTGCTTGTTTGGAAAAAAAAAATCATGCACACAATCACCATATCCTAGCCCAAAGAGACTCATTTTCTCTATTTGCTCTGGAAATCCTATTCACGATACATAATTATGATATTATTCCAAATTATAGTCAATACTATAATTCACCTCCTCTTTTATGTTTTAATGAACTACCTTCAAATCACTGATCCTTTTGTTTATAAACTGAAGATGTAATGTAAAAAAATAGGTAATAAACTTGCAAACTACAACGTGCTTAATACTTAACGTAAAAAAAACAACACAGGCGAGACAGATTGTCATGAGATGAACTGAGTGTTAGCCCAGACAAATATATCCAATACATATTCTTGTAGTGCATGTGCAGTCTCTGAGAACTTAATGGTTATTAAGACTATCATAAGTAGTATTGTAAATGGTCAAGAGCACGTGCCCTGGAGCCAGATGGCCTCATTTCAAAACCGGGCTCTGCCACTTCCTAGCTGTTGACCTTGGGCAAGCAAATTAAAACTCCCTGTGTCTTGGTGTCTCCCCATAAAATAAGAATAAGCACTAGTATCCAACTCATTGGGTTGTAAATTAAATAACACATGTATTTAATTTACAGGAGGAGTAAATTAAATAACATATGTATTAGGATGGTGCTGGACACAGAGAGTGCTAAAAATGTGAGCTTTATATCTATAATGGGGTACCTATGAAAATTTTAACTAATTTTCCATTTTGAATTTGTGAAATGTATGTTAGCTGCTATACCCGAGGTTTGAAACCCACAAACCGACACTGGTCCATGAACCCCATTTGTACATAACATCTCTGCCATTGCACATTTAGTTATTTGCTCACCTCCTGGGACACAGGTTTCCAAAACGAGTGATGATGTCGCGTTGGATACTTGATTCTCAATGGTACACTCTATTTTTTGTGAAAGGTCCTCTTTCTTCTGAAAATGCATCGTAGATTCTGAGCTATTGACACACTGCGCTGAAGAGCAACGCCACGAGTATCTTATTAGTTCTCGATGAGTTGTGTAATCTTCTGGGATCGAGCAAGAGACTGTAATATTTTCACCACTCAATGTACAATTTAGTGTTGGAGATGGAAGAGGCTCTGGGAAAAAAAAATTTAATAATTAGTACAAAAAAGAGTAAGACTTAGATTCATCATCTGCAAATTTATGAAGAGCTCCCAACTTCTCTGTGAGTTTGAAGAGACAGGCAAGCCACATCCTTGAGTACCAATGGGAGAGAATTCTCTTCTTCTGGGTCAGACCTACCTGCCCCAATTCGGAAAACACACAGGCCCCAAATCTCTTATCTTCAATCCTGAAAGCCAAAAGATTTCACACACGATGGTGGCAAATCCTCACCTGAACTGACATGAGGATTTATAGTTTTTATTTTTCTCACTGACTTCAAATATTCATTATCTTTTACTAAAAATAGTCACAGGCTTGTGTATAGGGTGCCCCCCATTACTAAGTGAAGTGCTTCTTAAAATACATAGAGGAGCTTTATAAATGTCTAATCGCTGTGTTGTAGGTGAAATTAATATAATGTATGTCATCTATAATTGAAAAAATCAAAATATAAAAATTTTTTAAAAATAAACAAAACACAGAGGAAATTATATTACCTTTCTAACGTCTAAAAAAATGTCTAATTCCAAAAGATATCTGACTCGCAAAAGGTGCTGTGGGCCGGCTCTGGGAATAGGTGGAATAAAGCGTGGCGCCTGTCAGACACCTGCCAGCCCCGAGACCTCATGCCCAGCTTTCCTCCAGGAAGCGCCCCCTACTGGCTAGGGCAGCCTGGACCGGCACACGGCAGGTTCAGACGCTTGTCACCCTGCATCGACCCTGCCCTCTAAAATCTCAATGCAAATGAGTTTATCCCATTGGTCATTTGCCTATCTGTTAATTCGAATGCCTTCTTGCATCTCTACTTTCTCCCCAAAACTAATCATCAGAGATTTGAGAAAACATGTAAATATATATATGGAATACCTACACACACACACACACACACACACATACGCGAAAGGTCATGAGAGCATCCAAATAAAATTTCAATACATTATAAACATCGACTAAAAAGCAAATTACACTGAAGTTTATCAAGATGACAGAATAATATGCTGTTATTTAAAATGATATTTTCTAAGACAAAAGGAACACTTAAACTCCAATTAATAATCTAAAAATGAAAGAGTCCAACTCATCCCCACCCCGACCTGCTCCCGAACCCCGCCTCGCTCAGGGAGCCGCCTGCGTGTTAGAAACGCACACCACACACGACTTCCCTTCTCGCTCGGGCCTGCCTCGGTTTTTTGGTTTCGTCTGGCTCACGTAAGTCGTTACGTGCTGCTTTCAAGTTGTTCTTCGGTTAAAAAAAGTTCCATCTTTTTTTAAGCACTGGAAATCTTTCTCCACGTTCAGTCTTAAGCAACAGACTGATCTCCTCGCAAGGGTGAGGACGTGCTGCAGGCGACTGCCGACTGGAGGCCCAGAGTCCTCCTCCTCGGCCGCCTCCAGTCCCTCCGGCCCGGCGCACCCCTCAGGCACTCCCAAGGAGCCCCACAAGTCTCCAGGATGGCTGGGAAATGGAGACCACTGTTCTAGGTGCTGCATTACCTCCGCCCGCCTCTGCGGGGAGGCTGGGCATTTCTTGGCGGCAGAAAACCAAGCTTCCTGCTTCCTCAGACACGGTTCGTAGAAGCCGTTTTTCAAATATCAGTGCACGTGGAAATCACCGGCGGGCAGGCAGGTGTTAAAAATCAATCCACCGACCCAGGTGATTCTCGTGTGCTCTGTGTGTTGTTACGGATTCTAGGTTATTGATCTAGTTCGGCCAATGTCTAGCCTTTCATCGAACACTTTCTAAATCGAAAGGAGGTGCATCATGAGCCCCCCGTACTGTGCGTCTTTGGGAGGTAAAGACGAGGTCTGATTATTCACCTCTTAACCACAGCACCTGACATAATATAAGCCACACAGCTGGCACCTCAATGAGGAGGACAGATGTTGGAAAGATGAAGGGATAGATGGATACATCCAGAAAGGCGGTCTTTAAATTACTCTCTCCACTCCATAAAACGTCAGTTCTCCAATAGCTCACCTCTACAAGGGAGTGGTACGCCGGCTGAGAGCATGGCCTCGGAACTTGACTGCCCGGGTTCATATCCCAGCTCCACCACTACTAAAAGCCACTTGGCCTTGGGCAAGGTACTTAATCCCCTGTGCCTCGGTTTCCTAAAAAAATACAAGGAAACATAGTATCTACCCTACGCAACTGTGATGGGGACGAAATGAGTCGCATGGCTAATAATGCATACATGAGTGATAATTATTAGTATAGGGCCTGGCACAGCGCAAGTGCTTAACAAGCACTAACTGCGTGGGAACACCAGGCCAGCGAGGCGGGGCTCCCCAGGAGGGCGTGGCATGACTGCAAGAGTCACCCACCGGGAGTCGGGAAGAGCGCGCCGTAGCCCTGACTTGCTGTGTGACCCTGGGCCACGGCTCTCGTAAGCTCCGAGACTTCTAGGAAGTCATCCAGCCCAGACTCTCGCTCTACAAGTGGAGAAACCCATTGCTAGTCTGTCTCATTTTCATCAGTAAAAGGGGCGATAATACTCTATAAGGTCATCGTAAAGGTCAAGTGGAACATGAAAACGCAGGGAAGGGAGACACGCGAAAGTGCCACTGTAACCTTCTGTGTGGTTGGGGCCCCTTAGCCACGGGGAAGCTCTCTCTGGTGGTTTCATGACACTACCACTGCCACATGGCAAACCGGGAAGAGCTGAGCTTTGTCCGGCGTCTGGGACAGAGCTTCCACACCTCCGACCTTCCCGTCTGTGATCCTTCACATTCTCTCACTGCCCATGGGACTTATCACAGTCCTATCTAATACATTTGAGTTACGTCTGTACCTCAAGCATCATTAAACAGGCAAGAAATGTGCCGACTTCATTCCCCAAAACAACTTACTTAGGTGATTTATAATTAATTCAGCTCACTACTCTGTAAGAAATGAGAATTTCTTATACATATCTGGTGGCATTTCCATTAACTTTAATAAAAAGACATCACCAGCCCAGACCATTTAAGGAGAGAGCAGTTAATTCTACTCAGATGAAAGTTACCAGTGCCATAAAGGTGGTATAAGGATGTGAAAGAACTAATAAACACAGCTGGTGGAAATTTTAAGGGGACTTTGAGGGGAAAAGGGAAAGCCAGATGTCAACCTAAAACACAGCAGGAAGTGGATGCCCTGAATTTAGGAAGTGCCAAGAAATCCCCTCTTCGAAAATACCCTTCGTGAAGGTCTTCCGTTAGGTCTGGTGTCTCCGGAAGAATACTCAAATCTAAAGAGACTTCCTCATTACTAAAAAAGAAAGAAGTATGACCTATCGTTTTTCATTCAGGTATAAAACCTTGAGTCATCTTACGTCTTCATCTTAACGTCTTTTTGTAAAAAAAAAAAAAAAGTCTAAATATTGTGGGCTCTCGAAATACCTTCTGATTTTTTCTTTCTAAATATCTACGACCAACACCTCTGTCTACCCGAAGAGTCACAGCGGCTTGTCACTCGGCGTCACCTCTCTCATCCGTTGTGGACACCGACCCTGTGATTCATCTTCCAAAAATGTATTTCGTCAAATCACTTCCCTGCTCTGGTGCTGGATGGTGGCTCCCCACCGCTAACATCCAGACTTCTGAACCGGGACCTGAAGTCTCACGTGTCATATGGCCAATGTCACTGCCTCTGAGGGAAAGTCACCTCCCCTGCGGTTTGCTCCTGAGGCCTTCGCTTTTGTCGAGACGCCACAGCACTTTGAAAAATTACACTTTTCAACATTTCATCAAGTTTAAAAAGAGAAACGTATTCAAATGTTTTGAACTCAGTTTTACAAACGTTATAAAAAAGCTCTAAAAACGACTTCGATTCTTAGCTAAATTCCGAATCCATCGTCTTTGGTTTGCTTGCCCTATGAACTAACTGCCAGATCGCCCAACCTGCAGGTTTTAAAGATTCTCCTTCTTCAAACACACCTGTTGGTTCTTCTAATAAGACACCTGGACACCTCAAGGAGCTACATTCGTTTCAAAGGAGCTCATCACCTTCTGCACAAACCAGCCCCCCAGTCTGAGAGCTCCCATTTCTGTCGGCTACACACCCCGCCCCCACCGCCTACCAGTCACCCCGTTCGATTGCTTTCATCGATACAACAAATATCTACTGAGTGCTTATGACTTATTCAAGTTCTTTGCTGAGCTCTGGGGCTACAACGGTAAAAGAGAGAAATGCTCTCTTCCTCCCCGAGTCGCCAGGGGACCAGGCAGATGAACTGGTCACAGCTGCTCGCCAGCCAGCTGCCGCATCCTGTTCCACTGGGACAACCTCCGCACGCGGGGAGCTCAGGCTGTATCGGACTTGCTGCCTCTTCAATGCCCCCTGGATACTGTCTGCCACCCTTTGCCACCAGTGCATCTTCTTAAAGCGTCCTTCGGCACAGAGGACGTCAGCCTAGAGCCACACCCACCTCTAGGATAAAAGTGAACCTGTGACCTGGCGGAGGGGAGAGGTGGGTTCGGACTCAGCTGTGAACGTGCAAGGCCACACAGAAAGGGCACGGGCGTCACCAGGCCGTCCGAGAGCAGCACGAGGAGGCCACGGGGCGACCTCACACAGCCTCGCAGGTCGCCGTGAAGATTTCAGCTTTGACTCTAAGAGAGGTGGGGCCACTGGGAAGTGCTGAACAGACTGAGCGACGCGCTCTGACTTCGCTCTTAAGAAGATCACGCTGGCTGCTGCGTTTAGAAGTGACCGGTCGTGGGCCAGGATGGGAGCCGCGAGGCAGACTAGGAAGCAGCAGCCCTGGACGAGCACCAGAGGAAGTGGTGAGAGCTGGTCGGGTTCTGGTTCTGTTTTGAAGGCAGAACCAAGAAAATTTCCTGGTCAAGTGAACATGGTGTTCCAGAGAAAGAGGAAGGTCCAGGACGACATCCATGTTTATCCCAACCGGGAGGACAGAGTGGCCAGTAACCAAGAGGGGAAAGAACGGGTTTTTGGGGAGGAACAGGTTTTAAGGGGGGATCACGAGCTCACTTCTGGACATATGACATTCGAGGGGCCAGTGAGGGACCTGACACAGAGCAGGCAGAATGGGGCCCAGCGCCCGTCTGCGCTGCAGCTCCACGGGGTGCGCTGTCAGCACCGCGATGATAATTAAGCCCGGACAGGGGGTGAGCTCAGCCCCCTGGGTGTGAACGCCGGCAGCGAAGGGAAGAGGCCCAGTGTTACCGGGCTGGGAGACGAGGGAACCCGCAAAGCGGACTGAGAAGAAACGGTCAGTGAGTTGGAAGGAAAATGGTCAGTGAGTATTTAAAGGGCAGTGCTCTGTGTGCCAAGCGAAGGGGGTGTTTCAAAGAGGAGGGAGTGACCGGCCGTGTCGAACGCTGCCCCGTGGTGGACAAAGACGTGGTCGGACAATGGGCCGCTGGGTCTGTCAGAGGTCAAGAGCAGTCTGGGCGGAGCGGTGGGGACGAACGCCTGCCTGGAGAATGTCAGACGTGAACGGGAGAAAAGGGTTTACAAAGGGCGAAGACAGGCAACTCCTTCAAGAGTTTCTAGAACGAAGGCGGAAAGCGGTGGCAGCGGGAGGGGTAGAGGGGCCACGAGCGGGCTGCCGGTGACGGTCCTGACGGTCGCAGAGTTGCGTGCCGGCAGGGGGAATTCCCGGGCCGGGATCCCAGGGTGCAGTGAGAGGCGCCGGGATCCAGGGCGCAAGTGGGGCGTTCGGCCCCAGGTGGGAACCTCGAAGGCTCAGGAGGAGGAGGACTTCCGGACGGACACACGGGCTCCAGCGCAGGCGACTGGCGACCGGCGCCGAGAGCCTGCGGGAATCCCCTCCTGACTGCTCCCTCTCCTCGGGGAAACAGGACGCAACGCCTTCAGCTGAGGAGTGGGCCGGGGAAGGAGCTGTTCGAGGTATGAGAGGGAACACGAGCACTGGCAGAGTGGGTGCACGAGGACCTGGGGACATGCTGGGCTGGGCTGACGTAAGTGATCAGAAATTTAAAGTGTGGGATGATGTGTTTTTCCACAGCTACAAGAGTGTGAACACAGGACAGGAAGAACATTGGACCGTACCTGGCTGGACTGACCACATGAGCATGACCTGCCGAAAAAGGAGCAAAGAAGCCACGCGTGTCTGCACCACCGTGAGTCCAGTGAGCAACCACGGCCCTGGGGCTGCATGAGGAAGGCAGGGGGGACATCGGGTGGCTAAAGGACCGTCAGCCAGCAGAGCAGAGGAAGTGAGCTTCAAATCCAAGAGGTGGGACGCCTGACACTGACACCATGGACAGACAAGTTCTAGGTTATATCCGTGGGGAAAGGCGAGGTAGAGTGGAGGACAAGATCATTACAGGAGAGGAGAGCGAGGGCTGAGAAGTCAGGATGTTAGGAAGAACTGCGATTTAAAGGTTACAGTCACCAAGCAGTATGACAGCAGGAACGTCAGACATAGTGAAAATGAACCAGGCACTAAAATGATCAAGAAACACCGGGGTGACATTCACTGCAGCATTACGTGTAGCAGCCAAGACATGGAAGCAGCCTAAGTGTCCATCGGTGGATGAATGGATGAAGAAGTTGTGGTACATACATACAATGGAATACTACGCAGCCATTAAAAACGGATGGACTCGGAAGACATTATATGTCAAGTGAAATCAGTCAGGTGGAGAAAGACAGATATTGTGTGATCTCACTCACACGTGAAATCTAAGAACAAAAACAAACCACCGAACTCATAGACAAAGATGAGGGGCCAAGGGTATGGGGAGGGAGAACTGGATGAAGATGGTCCAAAGGCACAGACGTCCCATTACAAGACAGATGAGCAGTGGGGATGTCACGTACCAACGTGATGAGAACAGCTAACACTGCTGGAGGATGAAAAGGCAAGTTGTTAAGAGAGTAAATCCTAAGAGTTCTCATCACAAGAATTTTTTTTTTCCTTTTTTCTTTTCATCGTACCTAGATGAGAAGACAGGTATTAGCGGAACCTACTGTGGCAATCATTTCACAATATAAGTACATCAAAGCATCACGCTGTACACCTTAAACGGCAATGTATGTCAATTATTCCTCAATCGCACTGAAACAAACACACACTGGGGTGTACCCGCACGCCTCTACATGACTGCAGCAAAGAAGGAGCTTTAGGGAGGAGGGAAGGAGAACGACCCGGAACCTGTACCCCATCTCCGGTTCCAGTTTAAAGTGATACGGGGGGCGGGGGGACCCACCCTCTGGGTGGGCCGCAGGAGGAAACAGGAACTCTAATTTACAGAGCACCATCATCAGTGGAGCTCCAAGAATTCTGAGTTCATTGCTGCCATGACATCCTTTTCCAGAACATTCTAGCAAGACAAGTGATGCTGCTGGCAGCAGCTCTGCCCAACTGGTGCTGTTCTCCACACCTCTGTCACATCCTCCCCTCACCCAGTGCATGACAGGGAAATTCAGAGTGGCTCTGTGTACCAGAAAGGCAGGAAAACGCGGACTTCGTGTGATAAGGAATTATTTTACGTCTCATAAATCACTAATTTGTATTGGTCGCTTAAAAAAGTCGGAAAATTGTCATTTTAGAAAAACCAATTTATGGAATACTCACCAAGGACTTTAAGATCAAGTCTGATCATCGTATGGCCCAAGATTTCCATTCCATACTCATCTTCGTCTGATAGTGTTAAGTTGAAGATGATGAGGTTACCAGATGTACGGTTTAAAGAAACTCTCCCTTTAAACGGTGGGTAAACACTCTCATTATAACCTGTCTGCCAGTGTATGACTTTATCTTTGCCTTTTTTCCACATAATTTCTGTAAATGCAGAATTCGGTGAATACAAAGTGACACTCCCGTTCACGACTCCATAGATCTGCTGGTTGTCACAGCTGGTAGAACCTAGAAGGGAAAAAAATTGATTAGAAAACACAACGTGACTGTCGAAAATAGAAAACCCTCTTTTAAGATGTTCTTTGGGGGAAAAAACGGTTAAATCTAGTGGTAAAAATTATTCACCAGCTATTTTTTGTGCTAAGCGGATAAACTGCTGACCGAGAGCCCAGGAAGAACGCTGGCCGTGCAGAGTTGACTCTTGAATGGGGATTTGGGACCCACGGCAATCCAAGTGGATTCAACCTTTACGGAACACCAGCTAGATGCCAGGCACTACGGGCGATGCTGGAAATATGGCAGCCAAAAAGACAGGTATCACTCCAGGCCCTCGAGGACTCTCACTTTGTGGAGAAGACACTGAGCAGGCAAGGAGAGCCACCTAGGCAAGGGCCTCCCCTTCCCCCGGAGGTCATGCTGCAGGTGACACAGGACAACAAATCACTGAAGGA